AAACCACTGGATAGATTTTGATGAAATTTGGTATGATGATAGCTGGTTCTTTACTGCGGGAAAATATCTTATTTTAGAGAAATCTATACTAAACGTTAAAACGTAAATATTTCTCTAAAATATCTGAACGAATATGCAATTAATAAGTTTGCCTTTAAAGGGCTTAAGTCAAAGTAAATATTTTAAATATATTATTTCCTAATAATAACATGCAAAAAATAAAAAATGTGTTCGTTGATTTACATGTATGTATGTATGTATATATGTATCTTTATCAACCAACTTCTTCTTCAACGCAATATAAAGACTGACTCATGAGTTTGACGTGATAATTGAATCTAAATCCGTATTATCCGTCTTAATCCCTATCCGTATTAATATTATAGATGTGAAAGTGTGTATGTATGGATGTTTGTTACTCTTTCACGCCAGAACGGCTGAATTAATCTAGATGAAATTTGGCACAGAGATAGATTATAGTCTGGAATAACACAAGTTATTATTTAACCCGAAAAAATATACGATTCCTGTAGGATAGGTTTGTTTTTGTTTTCCTAGAGCTGAACCCGATCGAAGCGAGGGTGAGCCGCTAATAATATAATATATCAAATTTTTGTATTCTTTCACCTTACTCTATCATTAGTTATGGGTTCGAATACCAGGTCGGGTCAAGTTTAGTTATTGAGTTCGAGTATGAGAGTGACAGGAATAGAGAGTGCACTTGTGTCTGCGCGTACACTTGTGCATTATAATATCTCCTGCGCAGTTGGCTAGTCTCAATGAGATTGGCCGCCGTGGCCGGAATCGGCCAGGAGAACATCATTACTAATAGCATAAAGACAAAGAGTTTTTTTGTAGTTTTCTGCTAGTTTGTTACTAACTAGCTACTCACCCTCGCTTTGCTCGGGTTCTTCCCTAGCTTAATACTTAATACAAACTTTCATCCCCATTTGCACCCCCTTAATGAATGATTTCCGAGATACAAAGTATCCTATGTCCTTCCCAGGGTCTAAAACTATCTTCTTACCAAACTTCATTTAAATCGGTTCAAAAGATCCAGAGATTACCCCCTACCACCTCACAATCTCACAAACTTTATCTCTTTATAATATTAGTATAGAAGTAAATTGTAAAATCATTATTAATATTTTTTTTAATTACTATTTAATATTATCAGCTAATATATTTCTAAATAAGCTTATCTACGAACGTTCGAATAGAGTAATATATCGGCAGAGATTACGACGCAACATTTAGCGTGATTGCTGACAATGGCCCTTTTATTTAACACCGAAATAAGATCATTGAGATTTATTGGCTTCATCCTGTATGATACACTTCTCATGTGGCATGTTATTGTGACTATTGATATATGTTTATATAATGTTAGGACGCAGTATATATGCACATACGTATATTAGTATATAGTTACTTGCTGTATCGCTTTTAATGTTCGAAATTTTTATTTTATAAACTTACCTATAAAATAATTTATGTTATTTTCAGACCTCTATTCACGTGGAATCGATATCCATACTATTAATATTATAAATGTGAAAGTGTGTTTGTTTGTTTGACTGTCTTTCGTTCACGCCGAAACGGAGTGACGGATTGGCGTGTTTTTTCTGTGGAGATAGTTGGAGGGCCGGAGAGGGACATAGGCTTTCTACCGCGGCAGATTATTTTATTTCCAGAGGAAAACACGTTATAAAAAATATTTATGATCAGAATTACTTGAAACTTGATATTAATGCTCATCAATACAATTTAAATAAATCGTGTTTAAGCATTTTTCGAAATTCATCCCGTAAGGAGGTAGAATAGAGGATAAAAGTTTACATGAAACCTATCTTATTAGAGATTTTTTTGTAGTTTTAGCGCGAGCGAAGCCGCGTGTTCTGCTAGTTATATTATATAGATAGCCACAGTTTATAGAGCCACAGGCAAAATTGAATATTAATGCTAGTTATATATTAATAACGTAACAAAACTATTTTATATAATAATCCCTCCACGACTGCGGATACACCGGCGTGTCAGTTAACAATAGATTTCTTAGAATTTTAATCAATTTCTTAGAAATTTACCTGGAGGTGTTAATAGCCTATATATCTTTTTAAATGTAATATTCATAAATGTACATATAAACTATACAGCGTTAACCTTCATAGAGCAGTGACAAGATGTCTACCAGTTGTTCTTTACTATAGACACACGTATTTATTTACAGAGCAGTAGCAGATGAGCAGTATAAGTATAATTAATAAGTAGCGTATATACTCTCACACTCTCAGTTTATATAGTGTTAATTTTTTTTTTAAAAAAGCTACTTTTATTGCCCGTCATTATTCACATAAAGATAACATAAAAGTGTGAAAGAAAGAGATATTTTTTTATTTTTGGGATATTATTGCATAATAGACATCCTTATAGATAAGTGCGTCATCTTCACCAGGCAACTTATAAAAAAAAAAGGAAAAGTGCTCTGTATAAAATGTATTTTATACAAAATGAAAATATATATTTTTTAAATAAAAATACTTTTATTGTAATATTTTTGATATTAAAATAAAAGTAAACTGTTACGATATGGGAACATGAACTTTATTTTAATGGTAAATTATCAATATATTAACCAAAAAAATAAAAATACTCATTTAATGAATAATGAATAGATAGATAACATTTTATCAAATGAGATAAGCAAGTGTAATAAGAACGTGTATGTTCCAAACAAATAATTAATCAAAGTAGGGTAAACAAAATTCTAATTATCATAACAATAACCTGATACTAATACATATAATTTAAATTGTTTGTAGTGTTGCTATGTTCTCTTTATAAAAATAAAACATATGAAACCCTAGATAATAATATCATTGAATGTAAAATGATTCTATTTTAAAATACTATGCGGATTTATCCTATGGATAAAATTATTAATGAAATAATGTAGACGAACTCTTTTCGTAGTGATTTCGTAGCGACTACAAATTCGTTTTGTAGAATTTTCTGCACTAAAATCGATGCAAAAAATACGTAGGTATATGACATATGTATTGTTCGTTTGTTTCTTAAATGCTTATCATACGGAAAAAACGATGGAAATTAAAATTGGATATAATATGAAAACATTTATTTCGAGTATTTATCTGTTATGAAATATATTTTTATTGTGTACTGGCGACATACCCTCGCTTCGCTCAGGTTCGTCTCTAGGTACGTTTTCATTTTTTTAACGGGACCCTAATTCTTATTCTAAAATAAAAGTTAACTTGGGCTAAGTTACTCCTTATAACATCAGTTATCTGCCAGTGAAAGTCCCGTCGAAATCAGTCAAGTCGTATTGGAGATTAGCCAGAACAAACAGACAGACAGGCAGACAAACATTTTAAAAATTGTGTCTTTCTTATAAGTACCGTATATAATTTTATATGCATTTAGTAAAAAACTGTTATTTTGTAATTACAAATAGACACTTCAATTTTATTTATCTGTAAAGACTAGCGACATATGCTCGCTTCACTCGGGTGCGTCCCCAGGTTCTTTTTATATAGATAAAAATAGTTATTGTGAGCGTACTTTAGGAGGTAGATATATGCTATTGTAGACTTTTCTGTAGGCCTTTTTAGAATCTATAATTTGAATCATGTGGGAATTTTGATGATGATTGACATGAAGATTGACATGTAGTACTCTTTACTATATGCTGACCCGAGTAAAAAGTTACTACTCAAAATTTTGTTTAAATCTATTCAATACTTTATTAGTGAAACGCACACAACTATACAGACAAACAGACACAAATTTCGACAATTTCTATATTCTGTACACAATACGTAACAGTAAATTTCATGTACAGATTTCGATTTGTTACTATTTTATTATAATATGTTATAATATGTATAAATGTATGACATTTTTACCCTAACTAAAATTTCATCATGTTTTAATTTAACAAATTCTAATCAAAATTATATGTCCATACAAATACATATTATGTACTTCTAGACAAATCTGTATTATTAGAGATTATTGCTCGTAAAATATTCTTTATCTGCATAAAAGTTAATAAAGCATAAAATTGGCGAAATCGTCGCGGGCCCACCATTCCTTGACTAACAGACATTTCGTACTTTAGCGACCTAATTTCAAAGGCTGTATTTTGTCCTAATTTTCACGCAAGAATCTTTGTACCTGCAGACAATATTTGGTGTATTTAATAAATGCTACTGGTTCTATATACATATATATCACTACATAATATTATAAAACAAAGTCCTTCGCCACGTCTGTCTGTCTGTTCGCGATAAACTCAAAAAACTACAGCACCGATTTTCATTTTGTTTTCATCAATGGATAGAGTGGTTCTCGAGTAAGGTTTTAGTATATAATTTTTTAAGTTTTTGTATACATTGGCTAAAATATAACAATATTTGGTGGTGTCGGAAAAAATAAGCCGTCTGGGAGCTTTGAACGAAAACGCTACGCTTTGAGATATAACAAAATAATGTATGGAGGAATTGTGTATCTTATATCGGTCTACAGAAAAATTTGCGATGGTATATGTCTATCTCTTAAGGACAGCATACTATATCCATTTTAATACCTAGGGACGAGCCCGAGCGAAGCCAGGGTTAGTCACTAGTACCTATAGAAAATAAATTTATTATGATGGAATTACTTTTGTTAGCAATTTTAAAAGCATTTTAGTAGTATACATAATGTAACTTTGGTATAACAGCCAAGTTTAAAGTATAAGTATAAATTCAGTACTTTCTAAGAGAAAATCATATTAATAGTTACTTGGAGATGTTTATAACATAGCTAATCTTGTCCTGGAACTCGTAAATTTTGATTTGTTTTTAAGTCTAAATTTTTAATCTCGTATTTTACTGCCCCTTAATTAAGAAATTGTACATATTACATTAAATATAATTGAAAAACGAAAACGTTCAAAGTAGCATGGATATATAAGTATGTAATTTTTTTTAATTAACATGGTGTTAGCTTGTAGCTGGAGGTAAGAAATACAATATTATGTGTAAGTGTGCCGTACATGTAAAGGGCTTAAGAACTGAATGAAAAGAAAGTGAAGGCTATTGCTTAGTCGAGTAGAAATAATGCTTGACAAGTAATGTATAACACAAAACAAGAGCAGAAAAAATAAATTATAGATTTATGTGTAATTAAAAAAATCAATATCTATCAAAACTGTAGACTCCTTGAGTAGCGTGCATGTAGAAACGAAAAGTCGTTGTGCCCTCATTGGGGACTACCTATATAATATTACGTAAATTGATTTAAAAAATGATAAGAATTTAAAGAAAAGCTTTATTTAAACATTTTAAGAAGTTTTGATATAAATGCTGTAAGAATTGAAATTAACATATATAAAAAAACGTATTTTAAGAGGTCTTAAAATGTGTTTTATACAGCTAAGTGTAAGATGTCGACAGTTATTTTTTTATAGTAATATTTTATAAGTGTTAAAAGTAATTTTGAGTATGTAAAATATTTGATGTGACGTGCAGTATATATTCAATATATTATATTAGGTATATCTTTTATTACCACTCGGTAAATAAAAATTTTAAAAATTTTAGTGTTGTGTAGTGTGAGTAGAAAAAAAAGTGTGTAATTTCTTTATATTTTACTAGAAAAATACTCGCAGACACTCTTAATTTGATTATTTTGCTACAAGTTAAATCAACATGCTAAAGAAATCAGCTACTAGGAGCCAAGTTTAACTCCACTAGTTTGTTGTAGAGTTGATTACTTCATAAATTATAACAAGTTGTCTAAATAGTCTATGATATTACCAAGTTTTAGGTATAGCTAAACCGGAGAAACTAACGAAGTCATTAATAGTTTCAGAGGAAATAATTAATAAAAATATTGTGAGAAAGTTGAATTTCATGGTTTCTGCTAAAATCAATCTTGCTCAAAACGTTCTGCCGTCACTGTCATTTGTATTTGAAAAGAGTGCGAGAGAAGAAGACAAAACAACTGCTTTAAAATTCTACCTAATAGGAATCAGTATGTCAATGGGCATATAATGTATTTACTTTTAGGAGAGCTACTTGATATCGATTGCCTTAATCGTAGAACGATGAATCGTAAAAAGTGAAGGCGTAAAAGATAACATTTTTTTTTTAATTACCATAATGGAAAAGTAATTACTTGGGTATTAAGATAAGATTCATTCACCACTTAAACTAAAAAAATATGAACTGATTATTTACTAAACATATTTAAAGTATAATAAAGTACATAACTTAAAGAGCAATTATGTAATAATGTATGAATTTTAAGTGCCGCATAAGATTTACAATAAGATACTTTAGAGCGTTGATTTATCATCGTTTGTTGTTCAATAAATAAAATATATCTAAGATTAAGAAGCAATCCAAGTTCAATGATTTTGATTTTATACAATTGTACGTGAAATTCACGCGATCATGGCACGTTTCACGAAGCCTTATAATCTAGCACTCACCAGACTTAGGGGCATGGGCGCGGCGCGTCGCTCACGAGCGCACTCCTTTAGTTAAATGAATCCGTTACGAAATACCGCTTTTCTTATCTTCATTTCCGTCATAGAATCACCGTTCATTTAGCAAGGGCTAACTGAGAAGAATAATACTACCGTCGCGATCCGCTGTTGCTAGGAGCGGATCAATCGTCGACCCTTACAGGTTACATGAATGAAACCTACACACTTTCGTTGCGTATCAATATTTCATTTATCGAAATAACCCTCGCGAAGAAACGCACGGTCCGTTAAATATTTATGAAGGGGTTACTAAAATCACAGCGTTTTTCGTTAATATGATGGATTTGGCACAGCGATAACCGAACTCACGAGAGAGGGGCGGAGGATTAGTTGTGAGGCCTGAGCCTGACGTGTCAGTGTCGTATAGCGGACAAGCGGTAGACGGCGGTGGCGGAAGGTCGGGGATGCCGGGAGCGCTCGGCGAGCCCGGGCTCCGCTGACGTCAGCGACGGCTCGGCGCCGCGCGGCCCTTCTCACCACCGTCGCCGGCAATTATTATTTTATATACACGAATGAAAACGGTGTGAAACAAAAGGAAACGCCAGCGGGGCGCGGGCGGAAAGCGCTCGCCGCAGGAACGACACGCGACGCCATCTAGCGGGCCACGCGGGCCGCTCGCGCCTACTCCTTTCGGTCTGCGGACGATCGAAACAAGACGAAAACTCCGGCCGACCCTCACTCGCATCGGAAACACTGTCACTGGTCGGGAGCTACACTCGGGTTCACATATCGTACCGTGGTCAGAGCGTGGCTGCGTGTGGTGGTGGCGGTCGGGTGGGCCATGCTGTCAGGCGGCGCGGGAGAGGCGCGGGCCGGGCATGGCGGGCTCCTGCTCGACACTGCGGTGCGGCCGGTGCGGGCGTCCGCGGCGCGCGCTGCACGCCACTGGGCCGCGCACCGCCCGCGCCCGCTCCGCCCGCCCTGCGCGCGCACGCCCGCACTCACCGCCCGTAGCTCACCGCCTCTGCCTGCACCGCGTGCACCGGCACCACACCGACTCCACACCAACACCACGCAACACAACACTCGCTATGTATCGATTACCGACTTCTCTCGCTTTTCATACTTTCTCAATGGTAGCTGATAAACACTAAGATGCTTACGATAAAAGTAATAAATTAAAGCTTATTAAAACCAGTAATATTTACTCTGTATATAAGTACTCGTAGTAGTAAATCGTAAAACAGAAAATTACTAAAGTCAAATTTTATTTACTTTAGATTATTAAGTTTTATGCGGGAGTTACATAGTCAATAATCAAAAAAAAACTTGTTTTAGTAGTCGTTTTTGTTAAGGTATAGTTCATTTGTTTTAACTGAATATTACAATGCAGTAAATATTGAACATGTATGACTGAAACATGCACATTACATTCTAAGAGAACAATCGTAAAACTAGTTCCGAATATCAGAGCATTTTGTTATAGCTAAAAGTCGGCAAAGCTCCTGTATAAAGAGCGCCTACGAGACAGCCTGGCGATGGCCCAACCTTCCAATAAAGTTTTCCTAGTACACATATACATTATAAGAAATTTTGTTAAATGTACATAGAATTTTAACTTTAAATACGGAATTAGTTAATTAATTAATAAATATATTTTTTAAATATAAAAAGTTATTTTAAAATATGTATGTATTTACGTGTCATATTGAAAAACAACAATATAAGTTTTGGTAATCTCCACAATGCATACAATGTGAAACTTATTCCTTCCACGACCGCGGACACGCCGGCGTTACAGTTAACAATAGATTTCTTAGAAATTTAATTAATTTCTTAGAAATTTACCTGGAGATGTTAAATTAGAACTTTAAGATATTTATAAATTGTTGACTGACTTATGCTCTACGTATAATTTGTATTAGTATGTATGTTCAACTATTTTTCTATTAAGACAGAGGCCAAGGGCTGGTATAGATTTCTTTAACTTTGAGCTTTGGTTTCTCAAAAATTTAAAAAACACTTTAGTATTTATGTAAATAAATCGAGAAACTTAATTTTATCTTACTTCTACTAGTAAGTACCATAGTGACTTAAAATGTTGTAAGTCGTTGTCGTTGTCAGTCGTCATAGCGATAATAGTATTGTAATATGGTATCATCAAGCCCATCTTACAATGAAACTAGGAAGTAAATACACGAACTTTTCAATGGGTACTAGAAATCCCTTTGAGTTTAAGCTTATTATTTTTGAGTAGGACTTGAGTATTTGTGTCAAATGTTTAGGGCATTACCGACAAAAGCTTGTTAGTGTTTTAGTCATAATAATTATAAAACTTTTATTTCATAATATAGTCACTAAAACAGTCAAATCAGGATCATATAAGTTTTTCGTAATACATTAATAGTTTTTAATAATATTTCATACAGTTTTAGCCCTATTAATTCAAGTCAGAATTAATTATTTTAATTATATGAATGTAGCATTCTTTACCCCATTTACTACTACTACGTCTACGCTAAAAAAAAGTTTTTATAAAGTAATTCGAATTAAGGAATAATTTAAAGACAACGACCGCGGACACGCCGGCGTTACAGTTATCGATAGATTTCTTAAAAATTTAATTAATTTCTTAGAAATATACCTGGAGGTGTTATATATCAATTTAAAATATAAGTAGTTTTGTCTTGCTTCGGGTAACAACGACTATAATCTATTCAGCTTGACTCTATCTTAGACTCTGTCTGTTGAAAACTTGTTAGATTCGAACGGATATACAAGTTTCCTCGCGATATCTTCCTTCGCTGTAAGGTAAGTGGTTATCATATTAAACATTATTCGCACATGAGAATCTTCAACTACTACAAAATATCAGAGGTGCCAGGATTTGAACACGCTTCCCTTGGTTTTCCAAGCGAGAACGTTACCAATGGGCTATTACTACCTAAATAGATTTTAAAAATACTGTGTAAAGTTTAGCTGATATAATAACTGAAGTTGTATTGTCATTAGTGATATATAATAGAACAGCAAAAACAGTATTTATATTAAACGATCGTCAGAAAAGTACTTAAAGCTTAATGTTGTAAAAAATTACTTATGCATTAAAATTCATTCAGATAGAAAAATATTTAAAATGAGATATTATTCTGTTTAATTGCGAGCTTATGTAGGTGTTGTATTTTACCGTCCACGTGTAGAGCCACTAGCCATACCGCAACCATAAATGCATGCACGATTTATTTTATTTGTATTCAGCCCTTTTTAACTTCTCATTGTTGGGCACGGGCCTCCCTTCAATACGAGGGGGATTAGGCAATAGTCCACCACGCTTACGAAGTGCGGGTTGGTGGTTCAAATGTCTTTCGAAAACTTGCTAGGTTCTCTCAGACATGCAGGTATCCTCACGATGTTTTCCTTCGCCGTAAGGCAAGTGGTAATCATGCTAGAAATGATTCCCACATGAAAATATCAGAGGTGCGAGACCCGGGATTTGAACCCGCTTCACTCGGTTTCCCAAGCCAGCGCATTTTTATTTACAATTATATCTTATTATGCAAAAAACAGTTTTGACCTACAATATTATTATAAAAAGACCCTAATTAAAGCATAAAAACATATGTATGAAAATTGTTGTAATACTATAATTAAAATTTGCTTGTTCAAAAACAAACAACATTTTTTTAAATATATGTAAACACATAGCTACGACTCTATAAATATGTGAAGTATAAAACATACTTCGTATTTAGCTTGAAATACCAATATATGTAATTGACAAATCAATAGGTGTAACTGTGTCGAGAACAAACACAATGCACAATATTAGTGCTACGTAAAATCGTAGCATTCCAGTACAAATATATAAAGTTGCTTAACTAGTTATTGGCTATGGCTTTATATTTATTATAATGCAAAAATAATAATAAAAAAAACTCTTTATTGCACACACAAAAAACAAAAAAAAACAATACATTGGCAGGAAAATGCCCAAGAGTCTATGCCACAAACATAAAAATATGAGTTCAAACTGTGTTTTAAAACCTTTACTGTATTTTAAATACTTAACATGTTTTAATTTCTATTACAAATAAAATATAATAAAAGTTAATATGCTTACGGAAAATAAATTCAAGATTCTGAAGATACCATAAAAAATAAGAAGAATTATAAAACAGAAGAATTGTGACAACGGAAGAAAGAAAAGAGATAATATGAGAAGAACGTAGCGCTTCATACTTCATTCTCTTTGGTTACTTTGCAAGGGACATAGAGTTCATAGCATATGTATGTATGAAAAAGCCTTTTGTGATTCTAATATATTTGATTGTTTTAATACTGTAGTAACAAAAACTTTTAAAACTGACGGTTAGATATATAATTTTCGCTTTAATCGTACTACTTATGTGCATAGAACGCGAAATTCAAGCTAAGGTTTACTTCTTTCGAGTGATTGAAAAAAAAACTAGCTAAAAATTAAGTTTTAATTTTAACTACTTAATGATTGTACAATTAAAGCTTCCTTTTAATTTCATATAATCACTATCTAGTGTTAGATATGACGTTGCAATAAAATCTTAAAAAAATGTACCATATTTGATATCTCTAACGTATTCAGCCCTTTTTAACGTCCCACTGCTTGCTGGGCACGGGCCTCCCTTCAATTCGAGGGGATCAGGCTTTAGTCCACCACGCTGGCAATTTTATTCAATGAGATATTAACTTCCCTACAACACAAGACGAACTAAATATGTTATAAAATCTAAGGTATATTTAAAAGCCAATTTTCGTCGTACAGTCAAATAAAAATTCTCCAAAGTTTTTATTGCATTGCTTAATTTATAATGTAAGTGTCAACTTTTACACTTGTTACGTCGAAGCCATGATCTTATTACTCGATTGATAAAAATAAACTTCAAGGTTGTATACAATCAATACCAATAATAACGCGTGTCACATGGAAAAGTTAGTAAGGTGTGACTGACATATGGATATAGTAACTTTAACATATATTTTTTATTAATATAAATAAATATAACTTTTTTATTATATTTTAAAATAATTTTAATAGTATTGTAACTTATTAATTATATATTTAACCTCACAGGTATTATAAACATGACAATTGAAATTCTTAATAAGTATCTTTTAGTTTACAAAATATGTATAAAAATGAAATAAGTTTCCAAATTTATTTAATTTTTAAATAGGTAGGTTTTAAAAAAAGTGACTCTTAGTTTTCGTTTTTTTTATTTCACTATTTTATTTTTTAATTTATCCAACAGAAAGTACGTATACAAATTAAAAGAATATCTTGTATACCCAGCAAATTAATAACAGGAAATTATATGAATTTTGCTTGTACACTATTAATTTCATTATTACTATTTTACGTATAAACACACATATTTTATTGTTAAAAATTGATATTGGGTAAGTGTGTCCCTACATAAACTTCTCGTTAGTCTCCATAAAGCCTGTCTAACCATTTCCTGGACAAATCAAACATACAAATAAATTCTTAAAGGCAACAATAAAGTCGATTTCATTACTTCCTCAAAATCTACTACATATAAAATGTATCTATTTATAAGACCTCGACCCTTTTATTTTGAACTTTTTTAGTATTAGTAATTTTTGCATTTAAAATACTTCCTAAATAATAATAAAAAGACAAACGCATAGATCATAGCGTATCTCAGTAGTTTGTTATAGATAACTTTAATTTATTTAAAAATAAATATGGGAAAATAGTAAATATATAAATTATTATTCTTACCACAGATCATAATATAATACTATACTAGTATTGTTACAAAATTTTAAAAACAAAATTATAATACGTTCGTTTGATTTTACACTTTACAAATGAATATTTAAAATTATTTTCACTTTCTACCTGTGATTTTACTGATACAGTCTAAAGAAATTGTTGTTGAAATTTTGTCTTTATGCATATTTCTACATATTGCTACGGGAATAGAACAATTTCCGATAAAGAAGAACTGTACTGTCTTTCGTTTCATATGCAGAACCTTGTAATTAAATTTTTATAGCAGTTCTACATTTTATATTGTCACTTTTAGAAGCTTAACTAGTTTTATCAAACACCTGATTAATTTGTTGGGTTTTTAGTACAATAAAAATATAT